GAGAAGGAGAGAGAGAGAGAGAGAGAGAGAGAGAGAGAGAGCGCGAGCTGAACATTTGGTACGTGCGCTAATTGCGCACTGCCTATAAATAATTCATAAACAGTTGTTTTAAATATCGATTCATGATATAGTTTGTCCCCGCATTAGTCTTGGAATTGATAGTATTATTAAAATTAATCGTTCAAGTTAACCCAGCTAAATTGATCAGTTAGTAAAATCAGGTTGAGCTCTGCTCATACTTGCATTATGCTTCATATGGGGTGTGAGGAAAAGACGTGCATATGCTTATACACGTGTGCATTTCAATTTGAACAATCATGTAAATAGGCAGTTGTTTCAATGCAGCAATGCACTAAACTCGAGAGATGTTTAGAATGTATCATATAAGCGTAGTTGAGTTTATGTGAAAACTTTGACACTTCTGTTCATGTTATAAAGAAAATGAGCATAAGTGTTTTAACACATTGGGTTAATTTTATATGATGATGCCAGTTCTAATCAGTCATTGCACCCCTTTTATTATATAATTAAACTATATATTTTTTTGTTTTTTTTTTTAAATATACACTAATATTTATTAGTTGGGCTGATTGAAGATTGGATGCATTGCATTGCATTGCATTGTGTTGTAGGCATGTTCCAAGTGTCTGGTGATCTTGTGAGAGCATGTTAAAATGTTCAAGCCTTGCTTTGGTTATCAGAATAACTATTTCCTCCCACACTCCCACTGAAGACACATGAAGGAAGAGCAAGCTGTTGGCAGCCTTTAGCAAAAACGAGCTGCCCTAAAAGCAGAGTTTGTATGATGTGACGTAACCTTCCCCTTAGGTTTAGATTAATCTCTTCTGTATTATTTGGCCTGTCTTCCCACAAACCGTGGTGTTGCATAGTAAATCACCTCACATGTACGTGGGTTGCCTCTTGTGTCAAAAACAGTCTCTCGCTCAGGAGGGTGATTGAGCAGAGGCGAATGTTCATGTTTGTTAGCTATAACAGGTGTGGTTTGTGTGATTTTTAGACCCAGGCTGTTCCCTCTTACTCATCATGAGCATGTGTTGGGAAGTGTCGGGAAGTGTCAAGCTTTTAACTGTGTGACGCGACCATAGGTTTATTATGTTTATGCAACCTTTCTGGGAATCAAATCGATTGCTCAGCTTGGATTTTGTTTTTTTGCTATACCAGTCAAAAGTTTGGACACACTTGACTACATTTGTTTCTTGTGATCTTAAAAAAGTGCTTAATTTCTTTACAAAATTTCTTTATTTAGTTTTTTATAAATTATAGCTTTTTAATTTGTCCAATTATTGAAAAGCAGCAAGTGTCCAGCATAAGAGCTCCTTCAATACTAATAAAAAGCATAATTTCCATACTTCAGTCTGTGTTATTTAATAGGTGACACTTTTTCTTAAATGTAGAAAAAGTGGCAGTGAATAATGAGTAGTGTGTCCGAACTTGTGACTGGTGTGCATTTGAGGTTAGTAACTAACTTTAATCAACCCCCTGAAAGGCTTGTTCCAAGATTTCCAAAATTCCAGGAAGGCCAAGTCAGTAACACTGCTGTCTGGTTCATAGATCATGAAAGTGCCTTTCAAGTTACAGATAGCCTGGCTGAATGGACTTGAATAGTGTGGGTCATGTGTTTTCATTAGTGCATGTTAACTGACGTCGATCAAAATCAACTCAACTTTTGTCTTGAGCACTTTTGTATCTTTTCAGACTGTTTAAATGAATTAAAATCAGGCTGCTCTGATCTTTAGGCCCAATCAAGGCTTTGTAGAGGTGAAAGTGTCTGTATGAATTCATCAGTATGCTCTTGCTGCCCTTAGAAATGACTCGAGCAAGCCCCCTCAGAATAGGCATACTTAATCAGAACAGAATAATATGTGAGCACACTCATATTGAAGGGGCCATTTAAACTTTTCCTTTTTTTTCTTATGTAATTACTCTCTTTGGTAGAGATAGGGGTGGGGAGCGAATGAGGTAGATGCAATAGATCTCTCTATTACACCCTGTCACCCATTATATTTTCCATTTCATCTCTCATTTAGATACAGAGCTCTCTGTGAAAGTTCTTTATCCTTGACGTCAGAGGCTCAGACTCATCCTGTTGCACTCCTCGCTTACCACAGGCCCCACTTTGTTTCTAGAGGAATTTAGATAAAGCAAAAGCAATCAGAAATGCTTTTAATCCTAGTGGATTACCGCTGATTTGTACTTTGTTTAAAGCAAATTCATAATGTCAATGAATATCTATGCCTGGATTGTACCAAAACAGGTTTGGACTGACATAGGCTAATGTGTGGACTAAGTTTCGTTACATGCAATGTTGCACTCTGCAATTCCTAACACACAGAAAGTATGTATTGCATTATTATTGCATACTTGCTTAGATTACATTTTGTAATGCAATGCAGATTGATTTGAACAGTGTTGCTGAATTCAGTTTTCCTCTTGATTATCATGAAATGCCTCTCAAATGGAACATGAACATACGTCTTTTCCATTATTATTCAGTCAACATGTAACAGTAATGTCGCATTTGCAGGCAATGTTAATAATAATAGATGATAGTATAATACCCCTAACACCCGTTGTAGTCAATGAGACATTGAAGCACAACTTTTAGCTCAGTCACCTTGAAACTTCAGTTATTTTCAGGGGCTGTAGCAGATGAAGCTTGAATTTGGGTAGACAGATGAGCTGAAGATTTAGGATCTAGCCTAGTTCTGTTGCTATCAGACAAAACTAGACAGTTTAGAAAATAAAAAAGTATTTGTGGCTCCCTTGAGTTTAAAAAATCCTTTATCGTAGCTGCTCATCTAAATTTAGTCACTTTGGGAGTTTATTTATTTTTGCTAAGGCATGATCACACCTGCTATCATGGCTCTCTGCAGTTTGGATTTTCAATGAATAGATTCAGTGGCAAGCATCAAGTTGAGTGATTCTGAAGACCTATTATGCCCGTGCCGTCTCCCAGATGCTTTATGGTTTATGGTCACTTTAAGGCCAATAAGCCTTCCAGAGAGTTTAAAATAGGCTTGTCATGAATAGGTTTGATAGTGTCTTAGATACACTACAGTTCCTGTTGCATTTGCATAAGGCCTTGTTGTCAGGTAGCAGAGCACAGCACTTTTTACTCCCTAAAGCCTGTTTCGTATTGCAAATGCAGTTAGTGCATTAGTGAAGTGAAAATAAATCAATTTCTGGGTTATTAGACTGGGGTTTACTTTTAATATCTCCAACAAATGGTTAATTTGACTTGGCAGTTGAGAATCATTACAAACTTGATTGTCATGAAGTGCAAAATATAAACTGCATAAATTGGCTGATTTGTTGAAGTATTGCGAAACCTTATAGACTTTCAGTGAATTAAAAAAAACTATTAATTGACTTATAAATGAGTCACTGACTTATTTGCTCCTTTTTTTTCCTTCATGATAGCCTAAATTGCAGTACATTGTTCTTAGGTTTATGCATTCTCAAAGTGTTTTCTGCTAAGTTTAGAGCACAAAGCATGGTAAAAATAAGCTCAGCAATGAAACACTTCTTGCACACTGCTTGTGTGGTCATTGTGAACTGTAACCTGTTAATGTGGGCTCCAAAATAAATGTGTGTTGCTTCTGCGTGTGGTATAGTACATAAAAAGTAATGTCACAAATCAGAAAATGTAATTTTAACATCAATGTGAACATGCAAACAAAAAAAATGAATTACACTAATTTTATATCATTGTGACTTTGCTTTCCACACATTTTAAGTACTTCTTCATATACCACAGCAAAAACTATAGTCTGAGAAAGTTCAAACATGATTAAAGGCAAGTGAAC